TGAGAAATGAGTAACAGTGTAGAATTCTGTGCTTGATGTGTCACGTATAGTTTTTAACAGCCCCATCCTTCAATAGCAGCATCTTTGCAAAGCCTGCGTTCATTGCGACAGGTAAACTAAAATTATTTTGAAATGTGGTGCACAAACTGTTCAGACTGAAATGATCAGAGACCTTATTTAAAGCTTCAGCATAATATTGTCAGAATCTGTTCCTTGTTTTGTGTGTGTTTTGCTCCCCATGTGCCTTCCTTGCCCTTATTTGGTCCTTTCGGTTCCTATCCCCATTTAGTTCTATTAGTTCCAGGTGTTCCTTATTATTAGTTCTCCTCCTCACCTGTCTGCCCCTCGTTATCTGCCCTATTTGAGTTCTAGCCCGTTCTGTTCTCTCTCGTCCGGAATTGTATATGTCTACCCTTGCTACGTGTGTTTTCTTTGTTCCCTGGAAGTACATTAAAACCTATATGTTTGAATTCCTCTCCTCGCTCCTTCGTCTCTGAGCTCCTCACAGTAGCGAACGTGACAAATATGGTCATGCAGAATAAGACATTAATATTTGCTTTATAAGTACTAATAGACAGCCTGTTATGCTAGTAATATGCATGCAAATAAGCAACTAGTTAATATTGAGAATTGGTCCCTAAACTAAAGTGTTGCCACCAGTGGTGTGAATGAAAAGTTATATTCTCTGAAAATGCCATAATATTTCACAGTGTTCACTGTCCACTATTCACTATAAACTTTGTTTTACTGTCAAGTAAATTTATCTGATTTAAGGATCTTCATTAAAACTTTACAATAAGGTCAAATTAGTTAACATTAACAATTAAGACATTTGCTACAGTATTTATTAATCTTTTTTAATGTTAGTTAATAAAAAAATACAACTGTTTATTGTTCATATAAGCTTAGGCCATTGCATAAAAATAACAGATACAACTTTTGACTTGAATAATGTATTGGTAAATGTTTAAATTAATATTAAATGCCAAGTTCTGTCATGAAACTCTAGATGGCGCAGGCTGATGGGTCCTTAATGTAAACTGATGATATTCACAGCGTTAAACAACTTTGTACAAGCTGATTGGCTCATGTTGCATATGAAGCCAATGAGCTTGCTGCTTTACATTTAAATGGCTGGTTAACATTCACTTGAGCATTTTGCAGCGTGCTTTCAGTTACTCTGAAACCCTCCACCTTCCCCAGCTCCACCTGTATAGATCTGCTACGGGTTATTATATATGTTATTTGTTCAGCAGCGGGATGTCTTAAATTTGGCTTTGGTATTGGCAGTAGCAAGTTCCTGTACTTGCTTTGCAGCAGCAGGAATAATCTACAACAACAGCAATAACCAACAGCAGCAGCGTAGCAGATCTATTCCGCCAAGTCCAAATACATTAACATTGGTATATCCTTTATCATGCTAAATCTTCAGAGAGTTGTCATGATAGAACTAAGATTAATAAATGCCGTAGAATAATTTTTCATCATTAGTTCATGTTAACTATTGTAGTTAACTAACGTTAACAAAGGAAACCTTATTGTAAAGTGTTACCGGATCTTCAGATACTTTTTGTTTGTTTTTACTTGGAAATGAGACAAATACTGATTGATGAAAATTATTTTTGCAGGATATCTCAAACGTGAAGGAAAATTACTTTTTACGTCTGTGGTGAATAGATGTTATAAGTTTTAATGTGCAGTAATACAGTCTAGTGTTATGTGTGTTTGTCCATAATGATGATGAAGTGGCCCCTCTGTAGCCTGTTATGATATTCCTGCCTCATGATGTCATCCCACAACTCCAGTGCATGAGAAGGTCACACACACACACACACATACACAAACAGCTGGCTTCTCTTGCCCAGCGCTTCAGTTCTCATCTCCACAGCTTCTTTATTCAGCTCTTGGAGAGCAGGACCAGACAGTAACCCTTTACTCTCTAATACTGTACAGGCCCGTCCTATCTCTCAAAACCACCCCCTTTTCCTCTCTTTTTACATGAAATGATGTAAAATTCATCACATTCAGTGCCAACCCACGTGTTTTGCACACTTTCTCGAACACTTTAAATTATCAGGTTGCTAATAACAAGTCACTAATATCAGATAATAGAATCTGAACTCCACCCACCGAGAAGCCCAAGGGTTTTAGATGTTCCTGCGACTGTTTGTTGAATTGTGGGAGTTTTTGGTGTGATGAGGGTGGAAAGAATGAAGCGGGTTATTTACTCAGATGGTTCTCTGGTGTAGGTGTGAGTCTGCCCCTGCTGTTCTATGGGAACACGTTGCTTGCTTTTCTTGGTATTGGTGCCTTTTTTTGCTCGACTGGAGAACTTTTTTTCCCCCAGCACTGCTGTTGCTTTTGTTTGCTCTGGATGGCATGTCTGATTATTTATGGTGGGGGGGGAGTAGTCCAGCCAGTAAACATGTGACTGCACTGTATTTTGTTTTCCACTCAGAGGGCCATGTCTTTTGACAGATATTTTGAAGTCTAATAAACTTTTTATTTGCTTTATGAACGGGGGAGGGAGGGGGAGGGAGGGGGAGAGAGACAAACAGATAAACGTAGCAAGAAAGAAAGTGAGAGAGGTTGCTTTCCACATACCACACTACCATACATACCATTTAGTGTGGATAGTATAGCCAGGTCATCTAATACATTTGTCAAAACATACAGTATGCAACAGAGTATACTGTTTTGGTTACTGTATCCCACAATGCAATGCATTTTCCATGACCTTCTCTTTCCAATGTAATAAATGAACCAGAAGCAATATCAGCCACAATTTAAAATCGCTTTTTGACTCATTTTGAATTAAAAAATATTTTGATTATATTATTACATTTTAAAGGATATTAAATTATAATATAAAATGCTATATTAATAACACAATTATATTTAATTTATTGTTTATACATAATACATTTAGTAGCAGCTAGTTGATTTTTACCCTAGCAGGTACATTGTTTGCTGAAAATATTTTTGTTAAATCTTTTGTTAAAATTGGTTTCTTTTTGGCAACTGATATTTGCACATTCAACTTTTTTATGTATTATGTACCAACATAAAATAAAAATGTATTTTTTTTCCAGAGCTGAGAACTAAACCCTAAATTTGCTAAATTAAACATGCAACATGCAGCAGATATTTAATGCATAATGTGAACTGTTTATTTTCTTCAAATAAAAGTATGCAGAATACAGTAGTATGCTATTATTCTATTCTGAACATATTCAGAAAGATTAAACAACAGCTTGTGTCCTCCCTGTTCCCTGTAACTGTAAGCTATTCAACAAGAACATTTTGTTAACTGTTTGTGGTAACTGTTTTTGTTAACTGTTTCCTATCAGTTTTTTCACCTACTTGTTTGTTTTGGCAAATAATAATTGCATGTGACCAAATTAAGCTGTGCATTTGTTTAAAATAAGCAGGGAGGAAAAATGGTATCTAACCCAGCTGTAACAACATAGCATCATTTAGATCACATCTTTGATACCAAAAAGCAGTAGAGCCGTTCTCAAGGGAGTGTCAGTCCCCATCACAGAAACATAACACTACTGAAACTGTTGTTCATGAACTTTTGTTTTCTCACATTGTTTTTGTCTGTCTTTTTTCTCACCCAGGCCTTACAAGTTGCACGACAAATCATTCTCCAACAGCAACAGCAAAGCAGTGCCCACAAGTCCCCAAAAAACAATGACAAGCAACCTGCACCACAGGTACATGTGCGCATGTGAAGCTCAGATGTTCCTCGAGTGTTGCACTTAGATTGCTCAGGAGCCTATATGGAGTTTGCAGAATGTTTTAGCAGAAATCTCAACTGTCTCAAAAATACAACAGAAGCAAATGAGAAAACTGTTGACATAATATATTGAGCTGTAAAACAAACGTAAACTGTAATGCTCAGATGATTTGATTTTGGGAGAAATATTGGAGTTCATTTTGAAATCATTGGTGTCTTAAATGGAAATTGTGACTGATGTTTTCTTCCATATTGTCATATCCGAGTATAACGGATTCTGGTCAAAGAAAAAAATGTAGGGTGGGTACTTGGTTCTGTGCATCAGTTGTTGATTGGATTTTGAGATGTGGATGTTGCACTCAAAAGTGGAGGAAGGTCTTTGATTAAACAAGGTCCAAAAAATTTAAATTGAAACACATGCATGGAGAAATTGTTCAAAATTACATGTATTTAGAAAATAGATAGGGTTAATTTTCAGTTTCATACCAACTTTAAGAACTTTACAGATGCAAACATCTCCATTTGCTTCTCATTTAATCTAGGAGAAACAACTGAGATAATAAAGAGATTGATTTTTTTCTTACCCATAGAACAGTACTGGTGCTGACATATATTTGTGTGTGTGTGTGTGTGTGTTTATGTGGGTGATCAGACATTATTTGTTTACATTTATACGGACGGTTGGTGGTACAACATGTACCTGTCAAAGCTTGACAAACAGGAAATTAAGGCAGGCAGGGCTGAAGAGTTGGCAGCACATTAGTGTAGTGTTCTTTCATCACTCACAATAATCTAACAAACCACACAATGAAATCCTGTCAGTTTTAGCACATTATGAGCACATGGATATCTAATGTGTGTGCAAGTGTGAAGAGCAAACAACATTAGCTTATTGAATAGAGGTACAGTAAGTATGACGTCCTCTCTCTCTCTCTCTCTCTCTCGCTCTTTCTCTCTGATTTCACATTAATTCTGTCAGCAGCAGTTAAAGGGGGCGCCCGGGAGCAGCCCTGGCTCCTGTCTCAGCCTCCGGGCTTTCTATTTGCCTACCCTTTGTGATGCAAAGCAAATCCGGCCCTTTTCATTTCCCCATCCGTGCCCCTTTAAAAGAGAGCAGCTAGCCGTGTCTGATGCAATATTTACGTTTATTTGAGATCATTCTCGCTCAGATCCTTATCTCTGTTTGAGCAAGGTGGATGTTGTTTGTTTCGTGGCGGAATCACAGGAGACCAAGGGGCATATTTGATAATTAACGCACATCCCTGTGTTGAGTGAGCGAGATTGTGCATGTAATGACTATATTTTTAGTGGTACTTGCTAATGAACAGACATAAGTGATGCCTCAAATTGTACGGCATGTTGAGTTGTTAGTTTTCTAAGCATTTGGACTTGCAGTTTTCATTCTGGCAGATGATAAAATATGGGAAAAACGTACATGCATTGAAGAAGTGACCTGAATATCACAGGGACTTGAAGCTCAGCTCATTTCACGCAGAACACCACATAGCTAAACTAAAACACCCTTGCAATCACATAGTAACACCCTAGTAACATGACACAAGTTTTGCACAAGCTAGTACCACTCAACCCTACGAACAAGAACAGCAAACATGAAGCTTTAAAAAAAATTAGCATTTTAAATCGCAATCGTAATTTTTATCAGAAAAAGTGCAGTTAAATTAACCCCCCCCCCCCCCAAATCGTACAGCCATACGATGTGTCATGTCAGTATCATGTCATGTAGTGTAAAAGAACTTGGGTTGTGTAGATATCACTGGAAATAAGCCACAAGGGAATAAATGCGGCTTGTGACCTTTAGGTTCTGTGTGAATTTGTTGGCATTGAGATAAAGCCAAAAGGATCAAGCTAAACAGCTTCACTCATCAGGCTAAGGGGTCAGCGGTCGGCAGATTCCACTATCTAGACTGTTAGTACGTAGAGGAGGAGCAGACCAGCCTCAGCACACAAAGACGAAATTCAAATTCAAATTTATTAATGTATACAGAGAGCATGGCCAACCTGTCACTCACACCAGTGAAACGAAAGCATGTGTGTTTTTGTCTTTCACCCTCATGCTCTCTTCTATCTTGACTGTGTTCAGAATGGAATCCTAGCATACTACTTTGTGCTGTATACTGCCTACTGTTTGTTTGTTTGTTTTTTAAAGTGAATCAGTATGCAGAAATAAACATTTCAAACATGTAGCCTACAGTATGCTATGTTCTGAATCAGTTGTTTTACTTTTCTTTTTTGTAATCTGAGGTGGGAATAGCCACTCCGCTAGGCCTGTCACAATTATAAATAACAAAATTAGCACTTCTATGTCTCTTCCTGTTGCGGTAGTTCTTTGTGAAGTTGAGCACAGTGCATTGTGGGATATATGTAGTGTGGTAGTATGTAATTCTGAACTTTCTCTTTCCTTCATTCTATCCACTTACTCTTTTAGCTCATTATATTATCTGAGAACCCAATAGCTCTTTGATGTCTTGTGTGATCTATCTATCATTAGATGCTGATCTCTATTAGGTGTTATTGCTGTACTGAGGCGCCAAAAGCCAACTTCAATTTGCTTTCTTTACTCTAGAGCATATTAATTTGATTTGTGACTGTTTTATCACCAATTCAGCATTTCGGTCTCCGTCCACCTAAGACTTTGAAAATTTAAGTAGAGAAATGTAATTGTAGCATGCTAATTGTTAATTGTTGGGCTGTTTAAAGTTAACACATGGTAGTGAATTCATGGGAACTTTTACTAATCAATGGGCGTGTCTCTAACGTAAGTAGCGCATTGAATGCTGGACAATTAACGGACAAAATGTCTGATATTTCTTCATTAGAAGATTTTTTTTTTAATTAAATGGGGGGAAAAACTTTATTAATATGACACACAACATAGAACACCATAAACATCTGCTGTAGTGACAGAGGCTAAACACACTTGGCTGGTCAAAAAAACACGAGTAAATCACCCACAAAATGACACGTGTAATTAAAAGAGTCCATGCCACTTCACCACTTTACACCTACAGCAGAGAACGAGAGAGAGAGTCAACAAGAGAAAGAGAGAGAGGAAGATCGAGAGAGTGCAACTCCCTCCTTGCTAATTACGGTTATCACTGAAATGGTAGGGCTTGAGTCATTAGTTCCATGTGCATTTAATTAGAGGCAGTCTGAAATTGGATTTAACTTATTACTTTTTCATGGATCGCTTTCTTGTCATCACTTCAAATTGGATTGCAGCCCCAGGTAACTAATTATGCCCGCCACAGGATCAGGAGTGGAGAAATAGGTAATTAGGAACAACACTTGCGGACCTTCCTTGATAGTCCACCCTCTCCGTGGAATGAGGGAAAATAACGAAGATTGAAAAAAGAGTGAGGATTATTTGCGGCAATGCTGTGAAAGCAGGTGTGGTTAACTGTGCGTTGCTGCAAGGGATGATGGGTAGGGAGCTGCCACCTATGGAGGATTACTTTGACGTGCAGCTGGGTTGACAATGTTATTTTGACATGGTTTTGGCCCATTGGCGTAATGCCCCTACTAGACACGTTGTGGTTTAGTTGATCATTGCACAGTGTAAATGTCATGCCTATCCTCATGCATTCGTGAATTTTTGCCGTTAAAGGCCGCTTGAGCGTAAACTTTTTCCGTTCACGCTTCAGTTGTCGAGAAGATATAGCAAAACAAACGTTGTGTCAATAGGCAGCCTGAAAAGAGAGGTTGTTTGTTGACGCTTGTTGAGATCAGCTGGTCTGTTCGCTTATTTTGGTGGAAACGAACCGATGTCTTCCAAACATGTGCGAATCATCTGGAGGAGTTTGTTACTGTACCAAAAAAACAGCTTCTTCTTCAGCTTCTTTGCGTAGGTGCTTGTTGTTGAAGTTAAAACAAAAACACAGACAAAAACATGGTTTGAAATATTTATTTATGTTTATTTATGTATTTATTATTTTACTCACTTTTGGCAAGTTATTGTTTGACCTTGATTCAGCGTTTTGAGGATGTCACAGGAAGTAATCAGTGGAGCTGTTTTGCACAATCTTTCTCCTTCTGTTTCTCTTTGCTTTTCTTTCATGATCATATGCAGTCGCAGGGAGGGCAAGTGGAGGTCATCGATAATGTCCTCTCACTTTAACAAACGATGAAGGGCCCGCACCCCCTCCTTCCCATCCACACACACACACGCACACACACAGACAGACTGCAATTCCTCGTCTTCATAGAGTGCTACATGACACAGTGCAGAAGTCAGGCCTTGGCTCTCCTTCACTAATACCCTCTTTCTTCTCTGCAGTTTTTTTTTCTATAGTCTTTTTTTGAACTACCGTGTTTTTGGTGGAGACCCATGGCATTGTCCTGACACATGTATAACACAGTGCAGCAATCTGTAACTCATTAGCGGTGCGGTGTGCTGGGGCTCGCTGGAGCTCGGCCAAAGCTTCCAACCTCTCTTATAGACAACCCCAGCACAGCGTAGAGCCCATCTCAGCGACGAGCAGCCCAATGTGAGCTGCGGAGCTGCTGGAGGTGACAATGAGGCTGTTTGCAGTCTCGTTTGGCGGCCAGCCCAAACCAGGAAGTCCGGCAACTCTTTTTATACTCACCAAGGCTGCATTTATTCGATCAATGATATAATAAAGACAGTACTATTGTCTAATATTATTACCATTTAAAATAACTCTTTTCTATTTGGATATATTTTTTAATGTAATTTATTGCTGTGATGCAAAGCTGAATTTTCAGCAGCCATTGCTCCAGTCTCCAGTGTCACATGATCCTTCAGAAATCATTCTAATATGCTGATTTGCTGCTCAAGAAACATTTCTTCTTATTATCATAATTGAAAAAGGTTGTGCTAGTTGTGATTGTTTTTTCAAGATTCTTTGAAGAATAAAAAAGTTCAAAAGAACAACTATTTATTTGAAATAAAAGTTTCTCACTGTCACATTTGATCAAATGCAAGACTGTTACTGTAACATGTTTTTTTTTATTATAATTTTTTTTAAAGTCTTCATTTACTCATTTATTTGACTTTTTCTTCCATTGAGAAATGGAGAAGTTTCAAATAATGCATGAATAAATGCAGAATTAAGCTTTCAAGCTTCAAAAAATATACAAAAACACAAGACAAACAGACAAAAATTTTAAATTATTCAGACGAGTTTTGGGAACTTAATATAGTTTATATTACATAACTTCCTAATTAAAAGAAATCAACTGATTCATTAACGCAAAAAAAAAAAAAGATTAATTCACAAATTGGATTTTGCTACTTCTCTTAAGAAAAACTTGTGGACACGCCAATGAGAACTAGGGCAGATGTCAAGGTTTTTAGTCAATAACAACTTAAATTTCATTCTGTTCTTCACACGAACATATTGTATGGCTTCAGAAGCATATACTTCAGAAGTCATATGGACTGCTGTTTATACTTTTTTTGTCATTTGACAGCCCCAGTTCATATTAACTTACACTATATAGAAAATAACAGGCAAAATATTCTTCAAAAATTTACTTTTTGTGTCTCACAGAAGAAAGTCAAATAGGTTTGTCAGCATGAGGGTGATTAAATGATGACATAATCATCTTTTGTTTAAGTTCCTTTAAATATATGATCATATGTTCATAATCGCTTTCACCATTTTTTTGTTTTTATTTTTTTGCTCTGAGGGAAAACCGCCTGCTTATTTCTCAGTCCTCCATCTGCGGTTGTATCCACGTATCAATCCTGTTCTCTTCAGCTGTTTGTTTTTTCTAGTCATATTTTAAGAATGCATTATGTGTAATGTGTAGATGAAAAACAGGTTTGGATGATGCTGTCATGATGAGGTCATCACGCTTTTTTCCAGACCGTCTGGCCCAGCCAGGAACGTCCAACCATCAGATTGCTGTGGCATCAACTCCAAGCGCCAACCCTTAAAGCTACAGTGCCATTCTCGAGACCTTTTCACTTCAGTCATGTTTCGTTTCTCCCCCCCCCAAGCCGCCCGCCACCCCCTTCTTCTTGTCTTCTCCCTCTCTCCTCTCATCCCTCAATTCTTTCCATCTTTTCGTCCGTTTTCCACAACGGTATACAGATGTGTGGTCCATGTTGCTAGGACTGATTCATTCGTCATGTGGGGAGTTTATGGATAGATGTATATAGGTCATATTTAGACTCCAAAACACTAACAGCTATATGAGAAGCTTTGGGAAGTCTCTTGTGTGAAGCCACATCTGATGGCCTGTGGGTTCACTGGAGAACCTACAGTTGACAGCGGTTAGCATGAGATGCTTGGGACAGGGGAATATGGGCTACTGTGATCAGTGTGTGTAGGTTTAACTGCTTTGAGTAGTTCAGCTCTTTCTCTCTCACTCTCTTTCTTAATTTCTCTGTATGAGCTAATGTATTAAAATTGTCATTAAGGGCAGACAAAGCACACATGGTGTTGGTTTATATTTATTACAGATGTTAAAATACCCTGCTGTGGCCTAGTGCGGCTTTGTTTGTAATGGTCGACTGAGTTGAGTAAAAGCAAAGATGTTCACTTGCATTGATCACATGCCAGTAAATTTTTTGTATCTGATGCAATTGTTTTATGGTTTTATATATATATATATAATATTTAATTTGATCAAATTGTTTAAGTTGAGATATATATATATATATGTATATATATATATGTATATGTGTGTGTGTGTGTGTGTGTGTATATGTATATGTGTATATATATATATATATATATATATATATATATATATATATACATATACATATTCATATATACATATTCCACAAAAACATTACAACAGAACTGTTTTCAACATTGATTAAATATTTCTTGAGCACCAAATCAGCATATTAGTATGATTTCTGGATCATGTGACACTGATGACTGGAGCAATGGCTGCTGCAATATTCAGCTTTACCATGACTGGAATAAATTACGTTTTAAAATACCTTAAAATAGAAAACCGTTATTTTGTATTGTAATAATATTTCACAACATCACTCTCTTTACTAAATTTTTGAGAGTTTTTTAATACATATATTTATAGTATATAATTGTGTTATATTAATACACATATATTAATATTCATATAATGCATATTAATATACAACATTAATAATGCAAAAAAAACTTCTTATATAAGACCATTTTTAATGCTCAAATATGGTCATTTGTTTTTTTATGTTTTTTTTCTTTCCTCTGATCGAAATGTTTTGATGACGCCTCCAAAAATAGTGTCTGACTCAAAAAGCACACACTCTGAATCAATCACAATAGCACATAAAGAAAACAACATTCCCCCACCCACTTCATTTATGTCGAACATCACCAACAAAAGCTCATGTTTTGACTGAAGGCAAAGCCGCAGCGAAGCACAGACAGCAAAGGCACACTTTTCGCTAGCGTTTCAGTGTGCGATTAATCAAACAAGATCTGCTCGATATTTAGCAGACTCGTGCCTTTTGCTAAATGTGCATATAGTTTGCGGTGTCTGTAGTGATTGGCTGTTCTCTTAAATACTTGCGCCAAATATCATCACCACACACCGTACTGTACTGAAACTGCTGGCGTCATGATAGTCAGAGGTCAGAGATGACTGTTTGGTCTCTGCTCATTCATTAATAGAAGTGACATTCAAGATGTGTGCGCGCGTGTGTGATTGGTCTTTCAAAACGAAGGTTGTTGCCCACAGCACCAGCTGTTTCTGTTAACATCACACCTGTTCTGCTAAAACCTGTTTCAGTAAACAACAGATTACGTTTAGTCACAGGACAGCGTTACAAATGAGCTTATTTCGACCCGCACAAAGGTCTAAAAGAGCAAAGATATCTCCGTCATAGTAGTAGTACTAGAACCCGTCACATCTGTAGTGGTTTTGCAATGACTCTTCCCAAGAGGATTTGTATGACTGTGCGGTTTAAATGCTAAACTCAAGCAGGTTACCAGCAAACGCTTATCTGGGATCAGTTTCCCCTTGGCCCTGTGTCACCCTGACAGTCATACAGGGAACCGCGAAGCTGATCTGAGATGGAGCACGTTATTGTTTGTGTGTCAGTCTGGCGAAGGAGTCAACCT